TCGTACTCGTCATGGGTATGCGTGTTTGTCATTTTTAAAATTTTATAAGATTCATTAACTAACCTAACTACAGCACTTACGGAACATTTTTTATTTGTACACCTAAAATGTTTATCGCCAAATTTTAAAGTTCGGAATTCTCTAAATTTATAACTTTCTATGTTTAAACATTTTTTTCCTCGACGCGTTTCAAAAACATCACAAATTTCGATATCCATAATCAATACAGTTAGTAGTTATAGTACAGCTTTCTGGCAAATGACTGTTTAAAAGTATTACGCTTTCCTAATACACGACGATTATTTTAAATCATTATATATTGATATTGATATGCTGGTAATTTGTACCGATAATTCAATTACTTTAGGTAAGTCCAAATTTAAAAATATAAAATACATGTTACTTAGTGATTATGTTGTGCGCAAACGAGTCGTCCGTTTACAGGTAAACGACCGATTTCGTTGTGCGCAAACGAGTTGCACCGCTACCTACCTAAACCCAAGAAAAATTGAAAACATACATCATAATAACACAACTAAGTACCTGTGATGTAATAAGGATTATTTTCAAAATAACCTAACCTAACCTTCACACCAGTTTTTTTTATAAATTAATTATTTGGATTTGGAATAATTTTACAAATTAAATAAATTGGACTTAGAAATATTTCAATAAATGTAATATTTTAAAGTCTAGAGTTATTTATTTCAATATAATTATTATTCTACATTGATTACGAAGCTGAACAGATGAGTGTACTTATCTCTCGTTGCACTGTCCGGTATCCATATACCGGCACGTAACATAATTGAAAAATTATTTTTTGTAAACAGCTATTATTCATACACCAATTTGATGATTTTTGAATGAACACAATACACATTTGTTTTATGACTTGGTAAGTTTTGTAGTTTCAAAATATGTCTCGAGCATAAGCGTGCACACGGGGTAGTCAGGGTAGGTACTTGACTATTCTGTGAAACTTCCCACCCTCACCAAAATATTCAATATGATCACAATAATAAATAAACATATTATTTTCAACCACTTCGAAACATTAGTTAACGTTAAAAAAAATGTAAGAATACGGGAGAAATATAGTTTTTAAGTTAAATGAAGTTACGAATGCAAATTTTTTGTTAATATTAAATGATAATGTGTTATATTTGACTACCCTGCCAGTTATGTCTGCACATGCTTATGGTCTCGAGTATAGTACATACTTGGTTTGTACCAAACTAAATGAATTTGTTTTCGGAAGGAAACAATTATAAAATGCTTCTATTTGTACTCATTAAAATTTCATTTTCATTTAAGAAAAAACTAAATAATTATGGTTCAAAATGTTTATAATAATAAATTGTAAATATAAAAAGATGCGGTTTAACATTTTTATCATTTTATTATCTCAAAAATTAAGATTGTACTGGTTAGATACAAAATTGAAATAAACACAAAAAAATAAAGAACAGTGTAATTAAAATATTAAAACAAAGTTAAAACTAAAGCAAATATAACATACAAAGTAGTTTATTTATTAAACATATTAAATTAAATAAAACAATAATATTAATAAATAAATCCGGGGGTTAACATCAAATCACAATTAAATTCTTACATTAATTATTTTTTCAAAATAATTTAAAATTAATCTTATTCTCCTCAGGCAATATTTTTTCATTAAAATATTCTAAGCCTTAAAAAATTATAATTTTGAATTAAAATACCATCAATAAAAAATAATGATATTTTTGTCTCACTCATTGCATATTCTCTTCATGTGATTGATAACACTCTTAGAGGAATTTCATCAGTTAGTAAAAGTTTAAAACAAATAAAATAAAAATTAAGTGCTTACACTAGGTATTAGTAAGTTGTACTTCAATAGTTTTCTTAGGTATGTTAAACATCAGAATGTGTTGACACACAACACATGAAGTTTTGTTAAACTGAAATTTTGATTTATCATAACACTAAACTATTTGTCAACCAACCCACCAGATTTTTTTCAGCACCATACAAAATATATTAAAATTTTTTTTTATCCTTGTAGTTTAGAATGATAAAAACAACCTTTAAACTTAGTAAATATTATAGAAAATTATTGATTATTTGATAATTTTGTTTTTGATTTTTAAAATAACACACAATCAGTTAATATTGATGTAAAGTAAATAAAAGTGGAAGAAAATGTATACATTTTCACAAATTTAATCATAAACCTATTATATAAAGGATTCAATTTAAAATAAGCAATGAAATTGATTTTATTAATAAAATTTGTGAGGAAAATAAGAATAGTACAACAAATAGATTATAAATACCAAGCAACATAAAATATATAGACAATAAAAATAATTTAGAATATAAAAAAATTAATGATTTTAATGTTCACATGTGTGTGTAGATAAAATATTAAATTTAACAAAAACTTTGAAATATAGTCGGGTCTATTTGGGTCATTTTTATTCAAATAATAAAACAATTTAATCTTATAAACAATAATATGTAATAAATTAACAAGCAACACTTTTTGTTCATGTCTGATAGTATGTTATATATATTACTAATGTTTAAACACCATTATTAATTAATATTTTATTTTGAAAATTGTAGTACTTTTAAGGGTACTCACATAGTTGAATTATGTGTTACACACCATACATTGAGAAATAATGTAATACATGGTGTATGAAAATTAAGCAAAGAAAAATTTATATTTTACTAAACAATATAATTGTACATAAATTGTATATTTGTGAATACTTTGGTTTTGTTAATGAGTAAAATATAAAATAAATTAAGTGACAAGTTTTGTTCTAATTTTAATTTAAAAAATCAGTCTCAGTTGTTTAAAAAAAAAAAAAATGCGAGTTTCTACAATAATTTTAGATTGTCAATCTTAAAAATTAAATGTATAAAAATATGAAAATATATCCTAATTTTTGGGAAGTTGAACTTACTTTGTTCTCAATTACTTTTAATTTATTTTGTAAATTAAATTTTCTTATAACCCTTCATACAATACAAATATAATTTAATTAATCAGGTTATTTAATTTAATTAGGTCAGTCATGATACTATGCGCCTCATGCCACACTCAGTACAAAATTTAACATCAACAATTGGATATTTAAATCCACACTCATGACAAAATTTAGCATTTTTCATAAGTGTTGAATAACTTTCAGTTGACATTTGTTCCGATTTTCTGTTCAAGCTGTAACAAAAAAAAAAAAAAAACTTTTATATTGTATGTATTTACTATTTACATGCATCTACACTATATAAAAAAAATGTATTTTAGTTACTTAATTTGCACTACTAATCAAATAAAATATTATCTATATGCCCAGCTAGCACAATTTAAGTTAATTCCAGTAATGGAGAAAAAATAAATTTAATTATACCCAAATCTTTAAAATTAAATTGATGTACATGGATAAAATTAAATATTTCAACTAAATTTAAAGATATACATTTTATTTATTACCATTGTAACTTGTGTATCACAAATAACCTCAAAATTATTTATATTGTAAATTTTACTATTTTAGAAATGTTTAATCTCTACAAAAATGGTTTCAAAATATTAATTTAGAAATTATTAAGCAATTGAAGTTCATACAGTTTATAAAAAGTAACGAATGTGTATATATTTCACCAACCAATAACAAAAAAACATAAAAAATTAATGTATAATATCATTACTATATGAATCTAAATTAGGGAAAATTGCAAAATTTCCTATTAAATATAAATATATGTCAATATTCAATTATTATGTGAAACTAACGCATAATTATCTAAGAATTAAAAAAAATAGTAAAATAGTAGGTATAAGCTAGTGATTAGTGAAAAATGGTGATTCAATTAGATAATGTATATGTTATTATGTTATTGCAATATTTTCATTGAACTATTGTATTTTAAAAATGTATTAAAAACACACTCAAAATTACATAAATAATTTTTAAAATTAGGCTAAAAGTTTATTAACTCTATTAAATTTAAGCAAATAAATCAATTTTAAAAACAATTACCTAAACTATGTTTCATAATAATAATATGTAATATTATTAATTTAATTATATATAACTAAGAAGACAAAAATTGTTTTAACAATTAAACAATCAACATTCTGTTGTGACTACATGTTTTTTGTATTTAGAGTAAATATACAAAAACATTATCAAATTTGTGTTATAGTGCTATAATTAATAAATTTGTTAATTATATTAATGTGTTAACTACCCGTGTTAGGCTGATTTTGTTTAAAATCAGAAAGTGTCAGATTCCACATGAAACCTGATCAAACCGTGCAAGTGCCCCGTGACAATTGAAGCGCCATGGATCGCTCGCCTTACCTTCCGTAAGCTGAATCAGAACTGCTATTGGAATTAACCCCATTGATCATACTTAATGCAGATGTTCTATTCAATGATGGTGATACAATATCATCATCATCAGTTAGTTTCAACAAGTTTTCAAATTCCGATACTGATTTCAAAAGTTCTTGTTCAGCCAAGTGAAATTTGATGTTTGATTTATTTTTCTCAGAATCACCGTATAGCATGTTTTCAATAGCTATATGTTTCCTAGGGTTATGAGAAATAGTTCTTTTAGTTGGACTAATTGAAAGTTCTGTACCTTGCACTACAGCACTGTGAGTTTTATTATTGAAGTCAGCCGATTCAATACTGACTATGGAACATAAGCTTAAATTGCTTAAATTATGTAGTGGATGGCTATTGAGATTAGAATCTAAATTAAATTCATTAGAAATTGGGTGATCAACATTATCCGGAGACACAACTACAGGAGAGTTTGGTGAATACTTGACAAAAGCAGATGTTGGAGAAATTTGTACGTTTTCCGTATTTTCTGTTTGTGAGAAATTCAATGGGTTTTTAAGACCAATGTCAATTATTTCTAGTTCAAGTTCTTTCATTTGTTTTTCAGCTGATTTGAATGGGTCATATGCATCTAAATGTGGTTGGCTACAATAATAAATTGTAATAAAATATTATTATATATATATATCATATGTTTTCAAATTACAATGATTAAAACATAATATTTTAAATAAGCTGAATAATTAAGTATAAAAATCAACATAGGAATTAAGTAAAAATATGCCTACTTGCTAACAGTGATAAATACCAATAAAATATAATTCCTGAACACATCAAAAGGGAAATCACTTACAATTTATTCAGTTTTTTTTATAAATTTATTTAGAGTTTACCCTTTTTGTTTTATTTATTGTTACTAATTTCACTCCACTACTGGAGTTAGTATGGTATTTAATGAGTTATATTTTAACTTATAACATAATTTATAATGAAAATGTAATACATCAAGTCATTAAATTATTTTATTTAAACACTAGAAACACTATTAGTAAAGTAAGAGTTTTGAAAGAGTGAAGTAAAATGTAAAGTATTTAAAGCTCTCCGTAAAAATCTGAAGGGACTATTATCATTATTATTTTATTTTAACTTTTTTAGTAGTATATGCTGGGGAAAATAAAATGTTCATACATCAACTGTGTTAATATTATGAATACATGTGAATATTATGGATGTTAAATAAAACGTAATGTGTGCATTAAATATTTAACTTTTTCACCACTTAATTACCAATTAGAATCTCAAACCATTAGAATATCAGAACCCTAAGTTAGATTTATTTTCAATATAAAAATGTACCATTTTGTACTTCAAAATCCTTTACAGCAAATTACAAAGTTTTAAAAAATAATATGTTTAAATTACAATTATTGTATAGAATGATAAAAAACAATGAAACATTACATACCTCAAACAAAATCAATTATAGGTCGTTATTATATTCCATTAGCAAATTAATATTTTCAGTGAATATTTTATTTATATAATATGATAAATGTAATGTAAATAATAAATGTATTAGGGTTTACAAACATTGTAAATATTAAAAATGTATGATTCAATTAAACATGGAAATTTCAAAAATATGATATTATAAATACATCTGTTCAGTTTTCTGTTAAAATTTCTTTTTATGTTTTTGTACATGAAACATTGATATAAAATAATTACCAAAAAATGTATATCTGTAATCATTGAAAATTACATTAATTTGAAGTGGATATTATGTAAAGAACCATTTTGGATGGAATTAGAAGTCTAAATAATTTTTTAAATAATAAAAAATGTACAGTTTTTAAACTGTAATTTAATATCTTTATGAATATAAAAATTGTAGTTTTGGATGTTCATTAGATAATACACATATTGATAATAATTGTAATACATACTTTAGTTCAATACAGACTCTTGAAAATATATTTATAAGTAATATACTCACAGATTGATAATATTTCAGATGGTTTTTTGAATTATTATTTTAACTTACTTTTTTTTTTTTACCTAATAATAATTATTATTCAGATTCAGATTAGTCAGACAATATTAAGCAGGTTTTTTTTTTTTTTTTTAGACAGTAATGCCAGTTTTAAAAAATCAAATAGTTAATAGTTAACAAAATAACTAGTATTATTTTTAATTTTTTTATCACATTTGAAATAAATTTAACCATCAATCATTTATAAAATTATAAAACTATTAGTATTTAGATCTTTCAATCAAAATTATAGAAATGTTGAACAGTGCAATACAGTTCAAAATATTATTTCTAGATTTTTTTTTTTAGTAATTAATTTAAGTGAACATATTGATGAGCTTAACTCTTTAATTTACACATGATATTATAATCATTACATTTTACATAATTTAAAATGGCTTTTTAATTTTATAAAATAAAAATAAAATAAAATAGTTAAGTATCAATTTTTATTCAGCTTATTCAAACATTCATTTTATTATTTTGCCACTCACGACTTTGATAAATTTTTTTTATCAAAACGATTGATAGTATTAATAGTTTCTTCTTTTACTCGATTTTGAGAACTGATGATATGGGCTGATTCAGATTTCTTCATAATTGTTTCTTTTTTTATACCAGATGTTGTTTTGGGTTGATAAATTGTATTTTTATTCCTGAAATAATGTAGTTTATATGCATTATATATATATAATTATATGCATTATATATATATAATTATATTAATTATATATATAAATATAATTAATATATTTGATATAATTAATATAATAATATAAATTATATTTACATATTAATATAATAAAATAGTGAGATATTTATTTACATAATAATTTAGCTTACCCAAAAGAATATTTTGATACTGGGTCTTTCTTTTTCAATAATGAAGATTGGCGAGGAATAATAGCTACAAAAATAAAATTATGGTTTGTTTTTTTTATAATATATATATATTTATAGCTATATTTAGCTATAGAGCTACCTATATTTAGTATACAATTTAAAAGTATATGAAAAATAATTGTATAATATTATTCATGGTTTTATAATTAAAATTCAAAATTAGACAACATTATTATGTATTATATATTTTGTCTGCAGTTTATGATCGAGTTCTATAATTAAACATTGTAGGTCTTCCTGAATAATAACATATGTGATTTTTAAAAGTTTACAAATAGGGAGAGATTAAAAATACAGATATCTAAATATAACTAATACAATGAGATCTCCTACACTTATTTAAGGGAACAAATTATTTCAATAGTCTATACTTATGTTCTTGAAAAATTTCCAAATTATGTATCGCTTTACATTATTATGAGCTATTAACATTATGGAACATTAATATTTAAAACTTCTATTTTTTACATTTTTTTCAACTTAAAAACAATTCATTTATTAGAACATCATACTTAAGCATGAATTAAATGAATAACTAATATTTAAAAACTTATTTCATGACTTTATTATAATATATTGGAGTTTTAAAAATCTTTGCATGATTTATAAAGCAATATAGTTATTTTGTTGATATTAAAAAAATTAAATAGTAACAAATTATACTTACAAACATTACTATTTGTAGGAGGGGATATTTTTTTAACAACTTTCAATGGTTGTATTACTTTTATTGGAACACTTGAAACATCTTGTGAAGAACATTTAGTTTTCGGAGAATATTTTTCTTTAGTAACAGTACGCTGTGATTTGAGTGGAGGTGCACGGTACTAAAGTCAGAAATAATTTAATATAAATTAACAAATATAAATTAAAAAATATTTTTCATTCAGCAAAATAATATCATATTTGTACTGTGATCCATACATCTCTTTATGAATATTTTCTAAGCTAAATATACTAACTTTAGTTCTAGCTTCAAGTCGTTCTTTAGCTATTTGGCTTATCACTGGTGCAGTAGATATCCTTTGAGCTTTTTCTTTACAAAACTCAACATGCCTATCATATGATTTTGGTCCGAAATTACGAGAACAATGTGGACATGCTTCAGTATCAACAGGCTTGGTTGGAATAAGTTTATCAACTTTTTCACCTCTTGCAGCTTTCACAGCTCTAACAAGTTCTTCGTGTTTAGCTTTCCAGTTATTCTTAGTCTTATGTATAGCAGTATTTACATCAGGCGTATTTTTAATACTTGGCAAGTATGCAGCCATATCAGTGCCTTGTCTACGTTGTTTAGATGAATCAAATGGTACTTTGCGCTTTTTTGCGTTTTTTTCACATATAGCTGAGTGACGTTGTAATAAGGTTGGGCGGAATGAGCGCTTACATATTATACATGGTAACAATTCAATAAATTCATTTTCTTTCGGGAGTCCTAAAATAATATAAATAATTAAATTAAGACAAGAAATGTATGTAAAATACAATGTATATATACAATATACAAATATCTAGATATATTTTTATGAGTTTTTATAAAAATATTATTAAAAAAGAATAAAATAAATAGCGGTAGTCATATAATATGACATAGTTTTTTAATTTTAATTCAAAATAAAATTGAGAAATTTCTAGTGCCAAATAGATATAACTTCAATGAAAATTAAATACATTAGGTATTTGGTAAATTTTTTAGTTAACTTTATACTTATATTAAGATAATAAAAACGAACTATAACACACCCAAATATTTAAATGTTAAGGCATTGAATACAAAGCATTTCATTAATTATATAATAGAGTTTAATATTATAAGTCTGTGGATGGAATACAATTTTATTTTGTATAATTAAGTTTTAAAAGTTAACAACTAAAAAATAATTTAACACAATGTCTATAATATCTTAAAAAATAGATTGAATAAGGCTACTTATCTGATTTTAAAGCATTTAATAATTATTGAAACACCTCAAACTAATGTACCATATTTCTGACTTTTATTGTAGAAAAAATATCCAAACCACGAATATAGAATTAATAACAATATAATGATAAATTGTTGTATTTACAGTCAAATTATACAATATTAATTTAGTTTAATTTGGAAAAAATAACCAAGCAAATAAATTAGTTATTGAACTATGTTAAGGTGTTAAAATAATTACAGAAAAAAATTAAATTAATTAGGTAGATACATTTATTTTTAAATATTGTTAAAATTAACTAAAACACAGAAATCTAAATAAAATTTTAAAAATGTCATATTTTAACAACAAAAATTAAATATTGATCAACAATTGATGTTTTAATCAACAAGAATCTTGATAATATGAAAAACCATGAAATCCTCAAAAATTTTACTTAAGAAGTAGCAGGAAAATTAGAAAGTTGGTCTATAAGTTTTAATAAGAAGAAATTTATCTTCTTGAACAAAATTAAAATGCATTAGGTGAGTATTAACTACCTTTAAAAAGTAGGTTCATATAAATTTTAACACTTACAACTACAAGATATACAATATATATATATTGTATATATATATATATATATATATATATAACTACAATATATATTAAATTCATAAAATAACGATAAATATTGTTATACTTTTCAATATGAACAAGCTTATGCATATAAAATAATTAGTATATTTTCAGGGTACTTATTATTTAATGATTTATAATTCAAGTCCATGTTTCTGCAAATTATACTCAAGTTCATAATTAAGAGATAAAAATTCAATGAAATATTTTTAGTATATATGCAAAAAACACTGTTTTATATTCATTAACTCGTAATCATATTAAATTAAATAAATAAAATCAAACATCGATTAATATTTCGAGAATAATATTAATTTATTAATTTTTCAATATATACAAGCTACGTTGGATAAGTTCTCAAATGCGAAATGACTACAAAAAAAAAAAAAAACCAAATCAAACAAACAGGACAATTAAAATGTATGTACTATAGGGAATTTCAAGCTAACACATTATAGCGAAGCAACCTACGTGTCGTTGAGTACAAACAGAATAGATGAGCAGGGGACAGCGTGGACACTGCCCGTAATCGACCTCGGATTTTTTTCATCCCACAACAATATTTAGATTGTCTAAAAAAATAACAACAATAAAAATAATAATAATAACAGATAGTAAAAAGTGATTAATTAACCCAACAACAAAAACGGGATTCGAGCAGAGCTGTACGGTATAACAACTACCAGTAAGTGCATTCAGAGAGACGTTAAGGATAGCGGCCCTGCGGCCAGTCAGTGATGCATCCCAGCACCGAGTGGGCACGGTTAACGAGAGAGCGAAGGGAGGTGTGGGTGGGAAGGAGTGAGTGGAGGTCTGAACGTCGTTGTACAACATTACGTTACCTTCGTCAAAGTCGGCCGTGTGGTCCATTTTTGGTAAGTGGATCTCGCGAAGGACGGCCAGGTACGTGGGCACGCCGTAGTGAGCGCGACACGACGCAGATATTCGACGCGTTCGCGAACCGAAACCACGGGAAAACCACAACGACCGAACGATTTGGTGTGCGATTCGTTCGTAGCGTTACGATAATATTGCCACGGGCAAAATAAAACTGCGTGGTCGTGCGGTACGCGGCGATTCACATAGCAACGCGGCGGACGTTCAACAACGACGTCGTCATGTCCACCGGATCGATGATACCTATTTTGCGCGGATAATTCGAACTCCGAAGCCGTGCCGCGGAAACAATACCGTAGAGCCACCCCGAGATCACGGCAACGATAACAAAAAACAACACGGGACAGCTGAACGTTTCGAACTGAAACGGTCGACAGGCGAACGCGACGAGATCACGACGGACTGATAAAGTGACTGATAAAGCGTAGCCATCCGTCGCCGTGGTACCGGTGCGCGGGAGAGGAACTTCGTTGTCGAGTCGCGCGCTCAGTGCAGCCAGTCGACCGGTTGCCTTCTGCGCGCGACAAACATCGATATCGCCACGCACGAAGTATCGTGAGTGGACTGTACCCGACAACCGGTGGAAAGTTTTTTTTTACTCGGATCACAAATTTCAATACCCACCCAGGGCTGCTCATTGGGAGGTGGGGACCAGTGCAACGCGTCGGACCCTACATACAGTGTATCGTGAACATCGCTTTATCTATAAATAATCTCATAATATTACTGTCGCCGGAAAAGGATTATTTATTGTTGTCACCGTCGAAAATCAAGACTGTGCCAAAGACCTTAGTTTAAAAAATTATAATTTGTACTACAATCATTACCGTTATTATTATATATATTGTTTTTATTATAATTATTATAACAATTATAAAACTATTTTATAAAAATAAAAAATAAATTCTGCACCGGGTCCTAAAATCCATCGGGCTGCCACTGTATCCGGGTGGGATAATCCTGGTAATAATCGGGTGGGTGTTATTCGGTGTCTTTGAATATCGTGTTTTCGAAGGTCATATTTTCGAATGACAAATGTTAGAAAATGTTTTCGTTCGGATCAGTGGCGTACATTCAATCTTGCTCCGGGGGGGGGGGGGGGTAACGAAAATAATCGTTGCATAGATACATAAGATAAATAACTGCTATAAATAGATATTATTTTATACAACTTTTTTACCAATTTACAGTTTACTTTCACATTACAGTAAATTAATAGCTATTGGAATATAAAAACAACATAGTTAACAAAAATTTTCAAACACCTATCAATATAATTATTTAATTACCATAATATTTGTATAGTTGTATATTTTAAGTTCAAAGCGTAATAATGAAACTACAAATATATTACACGTCATCAATAATAAAACAATTTTCTTTTTCTTTTTTTTTTTTGGCCCGGGGGAGGGGGTTTGAACCCGAAAATCCCCCCCCGTACGTACGCCACTGGTTCGAATAGTAATGTTATCGAAAAATTATTTGTTCGAATACATATGTGAACATTTTGTGTTCTTCGACCGACGTTTCAACAGTACATATTTTTGCTCCACACTTAGTTGAACATGTCAAGTAAAAAACGTTTTGGTCATCACGTTTTCTTTTATAACTTTTATTTAATGTATATAAAAAAATATTTACACTTAATACTTTTCCTCCGTGAATACTTTTTATAATTTCTATCGAACACATTTTATTAAAAAAAAAGACAAATTACATAAAACTAAACTTCAGTACTCACTACAATCATGTTTTGTTGTATACCTACTATACTACACCACTGTAGGTATAATAATCATTACTAATAAGCTATAATAGCAGCATGCTATCTACTCTTTACTATATGTACCAGTGGCGTATATAGGAGGAGCTTAGTGGGCTACAGTCCCCCCACTCGAAATATTTCAAAAATCAAAAAATTATTTCAAACGTTTGTTATATTTTAATGGTGTTATATGCTTATTTAGAATTTGCGTCCAGCGGCAAATATAACCATGTTCACGTGGTCTGTAATATTATTTTTATTTTTTGGTATTTTATTTTTTATTTTCAATACCCAGAGAAAAAAATGAAACTTTGTCAAATCGCTTTGGGACATTCTGTAAATGAAATGTAGATAAATACCTACTGTGTCTGGTTAGTAAGTCTTAGATAGCAGTGGTAATTTAACTCTGTCCATAGTAGCTCCTCCCGAAAATATTTTCTGTATACGCCATTGATACGTACTATATTATCTTTATTACTTTTAGTAAAAAAGGTATGTAGTAAAAATTTACGTTTAAAAATTAAATAATGATGTTCAATATATTATTTCGTTCATACGACTTTTCGAACACATATCTATTCGAACAAATAACTTTTCTAACATTCGTTATTCGAAAATATGACCTTCGAAAACATGACATTCGAAGACATGACCCGCTCCCCTGTATCCACCCGCCAAAATTAACACTAAACAGTTTTAAACGACCACGAATGATTCCATGAAGTCGCTGCTTGTATTATTATACCGTATTTAGTGTTTGGGTATTTTACCATAATAATTATTTTCTTGACTTTCATATTGCAAAGACTGCTCACCTCCATGTTTTCATGAATTACGTAATTCAAACCCAATTCCTTCACGTCACCACTGATAATAATCACCAATATCGCGACTGTTCAAAACGTAATGTTACCAAAAATCAAATTGTTTATCACATTAAAAAATACTACGTCACGCCTTGTGCCCCATGAGTTACCACTTCAAATTCGTTTTTTTTTTTTGTATTATGTATCACGTCAAAGTTATCAAATTTAATCAAATTAATGTAAAAACCATTAATGATTAATGTATTCTAATTTTTAAACATGTTTTTGGATAGTTTTAAAATATTATTACTTGCCAAAATGCAGTGGTAATGCCGGCCCATTATTCAATCAAATTCGGGAAATATTGAATACATTCAATATCCAATGGTAATAATGTGTTTTGTTTTAATGCAACATGGAGATCCTTAGCGATTTCAAGTAGTGGAGGATAATTTTTTTTTAACACTCAATAGATAGTTGTCGCAATTTATAACGATATTTTATGCGTCATCTTAAATTGTGGTTATTTTTAAAATGATAATGATATTATACTAAAATCAAGTATATTTGTGTAGGATGGAAAATGGAGGCCGACTGCTCCCCCTTTACATACTATTTTTCCGTCCCGCGATATAGATATGATCTCCAGCTGAATCTGGTGATCCACTGTTTCAACTAATGGGTGATTGGGAGATACCTAACAATATTCTAAACCGAATAATCATGGGTTTCCGCTAGTCGTTATAATACTACCAGTGGCGCAAACAAGGGGGATGTTTTGGGTGTCTGGACACCTCCCCCCTCTAGTTTATAGAAATTTTATTCGATGACTGTCAAATTTTTTTTTTAATTTATAACGTACAGCTGTTGTCATATTTTATTCATAAGGTTTATTAGAATACATTGGAATACTATTATGGCAGTCAAATGTAAACCATTATATGTTATAACCAGGGTTCGGGACTTATAGCACTTAAAATCATTAAAATAAGCACTTAAAAATATCATTATAAGCATTAAAATAAGCATTTAAAAAATTAAGCAAAAATATTTATTAAAAAAAAAAAAAAAAAAAACTATACAATTTTAACTAAAAAATTTAACAAAATAAAAATAAATCTTCACTTTGAAGATTTTAAGAATTTTATGGATTTTCTAAGGGATTTTTCTGAAAAATAAAATGTAAACTGTTCTTTCTGTTTTTGATCATTCTGACGTTTGATACTCAGTTCTATTTTCAGCGTTGGAATATCTTTGTTAACCCAACAACGATGCCTCGGACGGCGACGAACTACGTGACAACGTTGATAAGATAAGAATTATTTTTATTTTTAATTCTATCAAAATCGACTTTGCAGGAGAAAACTATAAAAACGTAAAAAATACTGGTCAAATAAGCAAAAATAATCAGAAAAATTGGAAATAGGCATTTTTTTTAAAAAATTGCTGAAAAAAGGAAAAAAGGCACTTTCAATTTTCATAATTGTACGTGTTATAACTTGACATACACTTCTATAGCACTCTGCTATATTTTAAGTCAATCCATAAAAATAAGCAAATGCTTTAACTTCCGAGCTCTAGTTATAATTTATAAATGTACATAATGACTTTTATTCATATGATATATAGAACAAATTCTGAAATATATCATAAATTATCGTAAAAATAAACATATTATTACAACCATGTAAACTATTATATTCTTATGATGATAATGATAATGATAAGTGTGTATCGTTTTTTATTTTTCCAAAAAATCGGCAATACACCCGCCTTCTGGAAATTCCACACTGATGGGTACCTAACAATTAATACTTTCGATTTATCGTTGTCAAAAACTGGATAATATAATATTTGTTTGACTGTCTGTCCCTACATTTTATTATCATATCAGTTCGGTTGTTCGAATGTTATTGTCGCCGTTGAACAGATAAAATAAGTAAACGAGCTAACAAAACCGATTTTTTTGCTTAAAAAACTTTTAAAATACTTAAAAAATAACTCGGAAACATAATATCAGCTTATAGACAAAATGGATTAGCAGCGTTGAATATTCACTGTGTAATTACAATCACTACAGACAACGTTATAAGGGTTAATACCTACGAAAAAAACAAAATTAGTAAAATTGTATTATGAATAATAACTTTCTAAAATGTCTTTATATTTGACATAACTACTATAAACATAGGCGAATCTAGACACTTTTATTAGGTCAGGCCAAATGAAAAATATAAAAAGTATTATTACATAAAATTAACTATTATTTCCTATAATATAATTATAAAAATAAACGTTAAATGTCTAAATTAAACAATAACTAATAAAACTGATTATTCAAATACATAAAATAGACATATTATGTTCTATTATAATCCTTATTTGTACCAATTGTACCTATATACTATATTATATTATAGTATTATATGTGTACACGTTAAAGAATATATACTTTTATATGTGTAATATATTATCTATAATGCCTAAATAATTATTAAAATACATAATATATACATATTTTTAGTTAGTATTAGGTCAGACCATGGCCTGACTGGCCTGACCCGCAGTTTCGCCTATGACTATAAATATATGTGATTTATACAGAACAAATTTTATTCATTTTAGTAATTTTCACTGGCACATTAATAAAATTGTCTACCAGAGAAACATAGCATTCGATTACCACTGTGGGGCACTAGTGCCACGTACTTTGTATGTTAAAATATGCTCTGGATTTATATCGAAAAATAAATGTTGATAAGGATTTTCAGCTTATCAAATTATGCCAAACACAGAAATAATTACATTTATAGGTTTGAATAAGATAATACAATAAGTATTAATTAGTAGTGATTAGAAATTCTATAATTATTATTTTTTAAAAAATAACTGAACAGGTGTATATATTATATTATATGGTAAACCACTGACG